GTTGGCCTGACGGCAAGGGGACTCTAACATACCCACCTAGAGTAAATGGTTACATACATAATACTAACATAACCTTCTAGTAGGTGTTGACAGCCCATAATCAGTCTACCACAGATGATATATCACGTCAGCACTGCGGTCGGGCTAGCCGGATGCGGAATTCGTACCGACTGAGATTCGAACCTGGTTCGCCGCATTGCAAGGCGAACGCTCTATCCCCTGAGCCATCGCGGCTCCCATAAACACTACTTGTAGCGATCGAAAATGGACTGAGATAGCCGGTTTGGCGGGCGCTGGACTCTTGTTCGAGAGAACAGGAGCTCGAATCCAGCGGGGCGAAAACTCCCCGTGTTGTAAATGGTGACTAGTGCACGTTAAATTTGTCAGGTCACAAAGCCCTCCATATTCCTACAACAAATTCAACCTCTGAGGGTACTGAATTGGAGATTGATCGTTCTCTAGTTCAGATTAAAATTACGATCTGTGGATGAATGAATGGGTTCCCCCTATAAACGGGTGTGACGTATGGGTGTGGTAGAAGTCTAATTCTTGGCCATAGATGGCGTCACTGGACAACAAGATCAATCGCACCCCTTGCCCTACTGGCTCAAGACAACAATAACAACAGCTCTCAAAAATGAATTTCGTATTCTGATCGGACACGGAAATGCATATAAAATTTTATGTCCTCTAGCCATTTAAAAAAATGTTCAAGATTTTGATTGACAATAGATTATTTTTGACAATAAAAGGAATATAAATTTTGCCAGCATCATCCAGGCTTTGCTACCATTTCAAGGTAAATAAAAAGCCATGTCCAAGGGAAAATTATTTACGCTTAAATTTGATGTTGTATTTTGGTTTGCTTACTCGTTCTATATTTCAGTTTATTTTGTTTAACAATCTACATACTTAATTATATAACATAATATACAGAGGAAATTTTACATGAATTTCAAACCTCTCTATTATTCATTCTCCTCTATTTTTCCTTGTTAAAGTACATTATTCCCAAACTTCTTAATTTATTATCCATTGTAGGTATAAATTTTGTAAAATATTTCTTCTCAATTTTTCAATATAACCATCAGAAATTTTTATTCTCAAACCAAAAAAGTTACATTCAAAAAACTAGATTTTCCTCGATTTTGGTCGCAAAATGAGGATTCATATTCAGCATTCCAGGAAACACAAATGTGCGAAAAATGAAAATTACCGATAATTTTTTCAGGTAACGTCCATTTTTAAACTCTGTTGCCTGGACTGTAAGAAAATTGTTGGAAAAAAATATATATATAAATTGCGACCTTAATTATAATGAATTGACTTTTTGTTCTTGCATTTTTTAAAAATAAAGATTAAGAGATATTAAAATATAGCATACTCTAATATCTCTATATTGAAACGTCGCTGCCTGTTTTGGATGTTCAACTTCATGTTTTACTTTGCTACGCAGAAACTATAAACCTAAAACTTAAAAATATGAAATTTCCAAGGTAAATAGAAAAATGCCCTATGATGGAATAATAATAAAAATAAAAAAAATTAGCACTCAGCAAAATAGCCTAAAAATTGCAGCTACGGAAAGGATGAATTTTTTCTAAATTCCAATTTGTTCAAAAGTTTAAGAAATGTTCGATGCATTTTTGCAAGAATTTTGTTTATCATATATTGTTTTAATTAAAGATTATTTGTTTATTGTATTAAAAAATATGTATTTTACCCTCGATATTTTATTTCATAAAATCACTTACATGGGGTTGTCTCAACATGTATGTTAAAATATTAAAATATATAGAAAACATAATTCAAGAGAGATAAAAAACCATTTCCTTTTTGAGTTGCTATAATGATATAATAATTTTTCTTTCATGGATAACATAGATTCTCATATATATCTGTGTATTTTGTCAGCATATTTTGAATCTATAAATTTTAAATTTTTCTTTTTCCATTTTAAAATCCATTTAATCGTTATTGAATTTTGAATCGAAATAGAAGAAATTTTTTGGGGGTGGCCTTGGCCTGCAACAAGCTGTAGAGCAACAGAAGAAGAATCTTTTATTTTACTTTTTGCGAGTGCATTTACGAGAAACATATAGAATTCAACCATGAATACATATTATATGTTTGATACGATTTTGCTTACCATATCTACAAGAATTTTCTCGAATTTATACTAATTGATGTATGTAAAGCATATGTTTTTTTTCTTTCTTTGTTCCTGTCTTTTAATTTGGGAAATTGAAATGAAATATATTCCTCAAAGAAGAGTTTGTTCTATTATAAACAGTCCTCTGAATTTTATTCCATATTACAAAACAAATAAATAAACAAATAAAAAAATAAGAATGTGACGTGCATAATTTCGTAGTAAATCACTGTTACCTTTAAGTTCTAGTTCTCATACAGCTGATGACATTTTATGATCAAAAATTTATTTCGTTTACTTTTTTCATTTATTTTTTATTTCGAAATGAGGCATCGAACTTAAAGCAAACATACATATTTTTCCATATTTTAATTTTTCAGAATATTTGAAATTCTATACTTGTGCTGTGAAGATTGTTTTCAGAACAAATTAATTTATCTCAAATATCCTGAGTTTGAACTCACCTATAACGATGCATACAGCAGTTACATTGCAAGTAAAAATACGTTTTTATTATTATTATTCCTTTTGAAATTTTATTTAAAGTAGAAACTGTGACGTCCATAAAGAAAAAAAAAATCTCTAAATTTAATGAATTTCGGTTTTTATTCTTCTTGGAACGTTTCTGTGTGTGGTTGGTTGACTGTGAATAAAAAATGATTTTGGAGTGTTATTATAATTTAGAGTTTTCTGCAAGAAAACATAACATAAAAGTAACGGCCGAGTGCGGAGAATATATCACATTACTGTAAAACAAAAGGAGTTGTAAGAAATGAGAAACATCATGAATTTTTTTTTCAAGAAATGAATTATTAACCATAAAAGAGCAAAGATTGGAAGGAAGGAAACTTAACTTAAAAATAATCTCTTTCTTTCGGTGCTTGCATAAAAGAATGGGGGAAAAAAGACGAACGTTTTCTTAGAAAAGGCTTTAAAAATATTTTACAGAAAAAGATCTATCGTTCAGTTGGAAGTTAAAATCGTCAAAAAGTTTTAATATATTGATTTTTAATATATGTATTCCAAACATCGTAAATGAAAATAAAAATCCATTGTGGTTTTTTAAAAAATTTCGTTAATTTTGATTATTTGCATAAAATTAAAGAAAGTAACATGATTTCAAAGGATCTATTACCAACGCTTGTAAATTAGAAGTAGTACTCAAATCTCTATTATCTAAGAGTCAAATTTTTTAAATGTTGGTAAATTAACAAGCAGTTAAAATGCTTATAAATAAAAATGTGAAAAATTAACTGTTTGGTGTTTTTTGAAATTTAAGGCCTGATAAATTTAAAAATTTTTGCTAGACTGATCATGGGTTAAAGTCCTCTTGCAGTCAGTGTAAACGTGGTTTTCCTCTTTATGTAACGCAAATGCGGGCTAGTTCCATCAGAAAGTCTTCCACGAAGGCAAATTTCTCCCAATACTTTATCCAGAAGTTCCATTGTCTTCTGGATTGGGTTCAAACTTACAAGCTTACAGAGTTGAGCAATAGTGGTCGTAAACCCAAAAATTGGGTCGGCTGTTCAACGAACGGTTATTAGATAAAATAAAATATCTTATAAACTTTTATTCGTTTTTTTCTGAATTTTAATTCAATTAAGCGTAATTGAACGTATTTCCAACATCTTATTTGAACAGAGAGGAATATATCGAACCCAATATTTGTAAGCTTCAGACAGGGTTTAATGTTTGATTTTATTGAAATGTTAAAGATATTTTCCTTAAGTAAAACTATTAAACACCTGCTGTTGTTTTTTTTTTCTTTTCAAAAAAGTTTCTTTTTCTTAAAAGTTTTGGGAAGTCAAATATAGATAAACTAGAATTTTGTGAAAAATCATGCGGTGCTACTGTTATAAAAGATTTTCATAAAAGATTTCTTTAAAATGTATAGTTCCTTGCTTTTCTGCAGTTACCTATTTAAAACTTTTATAACTTTGAAACCGTTAATAAGCTGAGGTAATCCTATCAATTGTATAAAAAATACATTTGGAATCAATATCTCACTTGTCTGAGTAGCAATGCTAGATGCATAAATATATATGAGTCAGAGTTTGCCTTGTTTCATTATAAAATTTAAATAACTTCTTAATTTCTAGATATATCGATTTATATGTGATTTCATTCAATTTAGCAACAAAAAAAATAATCATCGGAAACATCATTACTTGCAAACGAATATGTTTTTTTTCCTCATTTTTTCTCTCAAAAAATTCTAAATAGAGACTGAAGCTCACTGCTAGGGAAGGTGTTAATTTCAGATTTTCACACTAGGCTTAAATCACATTTTTAAAATAAACTACAACTTTCCCTTAACTTTTTTTTGTATTCAAATAGTCACGTATGTTCCCTCAAAGTTTAGGACCCTATTATATAAAAATAGAATCAGTAACCATATATCTGTGAATAGATTTCGTGTCTGCTGCATTAAAGGATTCTTTTTCAGAAGATTTCATGCTGTCACCATTCAAAACAGTAAATCTTCCAAACGAATCATAACTACTGGTGTACCTCAGGGCAGCATACTCGGACCTATACTTTATATTCTCTATACATATGACTTCCCAATAAATAAAACAGACTTCAACAGTATTACAGCCTATTACGCAGACGATACTAGTATTATTATAAAATACAGAAACCCAAACCTTGCTCTGATGAAACTACAAGAACACATTTATGATATAGAAGAATGGTGCAGAAATTGGAAAACAGCCGTCAAGGCCGAAAAATCTGAGATCATAGTCATACAAAAAAAAAAAAGAATCAAAATACTTCCTCAATGCAAACCAAAGCTTTTTGATATTCAAATTCTAATAGTAAATAAAACAAAGTAACTCGGACTCACCATTAACAGCAAACTCACCTGGACCGACCACATGAAAAATGCAATAGACAAAGCCAATACAGCAATAAATGCAATTCAACCTCTCATCTACAACCGGAATGTTTCACTTAAAAACAAAAACACTTCCATGATCCGAGCCATTCTAACATATGCTTCTCCTGCTTGGGCCACAATTCCAGACCATCTAATGAAGAAACTGAACCCGTGCCAAAACAAAATACTCCGTAAAATCACCTGCGCCAGATGGTTCATTAGAAACTCAAACATCCACAGAGATCTCAAAATCCCGACTCTCTCTCAGCATATTTACAAATTTAATGCAGATTTTTATGACAAAGCTATCAACTGCAATACAGCTAACTTCAATGAAATATTTAAATTTGAAAACTTTAAAAAAGACAAAAACCTTAGACCAATAGCTGCACACTTCACCTCTGACGCCTCATACCGAAACTATCAACATAAGTAAAAATCTCCAACTCTAACATCAATAGTTCATAGCAATAGTTCAAAACATCAACAGATTACAATCTCAACTGCTTCAACTACAATACCAAACTTGAAATCTGAACCTAGTACCTAATGTTGACAATAGATTCACAGCCATCTTTTCTATAGCCTTGAAATTCAAACCTGTTACCTCATGTGGACAATACATACACAGCCATCTTTACTATAGCAAGTTGCTTAGAATTATTTTCACTTTCTTTTCAGTTAAACAAGCAAGGTGCTTGCTTTACAATATCAGTCACCCCAGAGACTCTGTATACAAACTGCTT